CTCACAGTTGCTCTAAAAATGTTTATTAATGACTAATATGACATGGAAATGTAATCTGTGTTTTCTGGCTTTTTATTTATTTGGTCAAAATGTTATATTAACGGAGTTACTGCTATTTTTGCTCTGATAATGGTATTGTTGTTATGCAAGATAATATTCTCAATTATTTGGATATGCAAACTAAAGTATTAAGCGCTAATGTCATTACATATGTAATTTAAATCTAGACACCATCGCAATATAAAGTAAAAATAAAAAGTGTTGCTGTATCTGGATCGAAAATATAGTGCATTAGTCACACTGTTCTCTCTGAAAATGTTCACCATAAAGGGTAAAAAAGATGCTATCCCTTCATTTTCAGTTCTGGAGAACCTTGTTAGTTTTTCAAAAATTTATTTTATGATGAAACTAAAGTGGTCACACTGGAAATTATTAACTTCTTAAATACTTTTTTTCTGTAATTAGTTTTTTTGATAATGCTGTTGCAGAGTAAGAGTCTTATAATGCTCTTGGCCTTGCTGTTGCTCTTTGGTTTTCTTAGTTTAATTTTATTTATTTAGGTTTTTTGAGACAGGGTCTCATTCCATTGTCCTGGCTGGAATGCAGTGGCATCATCATGGCTCACTGCACCCTTGACTTCCTGGGTTCAGGTGATTCTCCTGCCTCAGCCTCCTGAGTAGCTGGGACCACAGCGCAGGCCACCTACTAATTCTTTTTTTTTTTTTTTTTTTTTTTTTTTGTACAGATAGAATCTTGCCATGCTTCCCAGTCTGGCCTGGAACTCGTTGTCTCAAGAGATCTTCCCACCTCGGCTAGCTTTTTGTTTTCGTTTTTTGAGAGACAAGGTCTCACTTTGTTGCCCAGGCTAGAGTGTAGTGGCAGGATCTTGGCTCACTACAGCCTCAACATCCTGGGCTCAAGACATCCTCCTGCCTCAGCCTATGAAGTAGCTCAGATTACAGGCACCCACCACCATGCCCAGCTAAATTTTTGTTTATTTTGTGTAGAGATAGAGTTTTGCCATGTAGCCCAGGCTAGTCTCAAACCCCTGAACTCAAGTGATCCACCTGCTTTGGCTTCCCAAAGTGCTAGGATTACAGGCATGAGCCACTGCACCCTGCCTAGTTTTCTTAAAACACACCCTCTTTACTAGCTTTAATTTTGTATTGTTTATTGCTAAAACAGAAAATAGTTTAGGGTCTTATCCTGGGTAAAATAACTTTCTATCAGACGAGTACAAAAGAAGAGCTCCATAAGAAATTGAAATGAAGATTCAAACTGTTTAAAAAAATGATTGAGGTTCACTTTCCCATTAATTATTGAGTAAAGATAAAACATCATTAATAGTTTGTGACTTCTCTCGGATGCCTACAAAGAAGGAATGGGTAGGCATTTATGGTTTATAGATGCCTCATCATGTTATAAATTATATCTCAGATCTAAAAGAAAGTTCAATAGAAGATTATAGATAGACATTTTGATAGCTAGGATGTAGTGTGGATATAATGGAATTTCACTTGCCATTGTGAAATAGGTGAAACAAATTCCAATTTCCTTAGAAATTTTTTCCTCTATTTCATGCAATTTTCACTGATTTTACTTTTCATTGTAACAAGTAATTGTTAGTTATGTGGATTTCTCAAAAGTGAAGGATAGCACAGACAAACTAACAGATGACAGTGAGAAGCCGCCTGCAGTATTTTAACCGACAAGATTAATATTTACATTATTCAAATAACTCTTGCAAATCAACAACACCAACAAAGCCAGGAGAGACAATAGGATTTTTTTAAGACAAAGAAAAAGGAATTTAAGAAAAGGGAAAAAAGAAAGTCTGAAAATAACTTGAAATGATGTTTAGTTGGTGAAACATACACTAAAATTAGTGAAGATGAGAGATTTGGGTAATATCAAGTGGAATAATAGGAAATCACATGTGCAGCCTACTTAGAGAGTTTTCTGATGGTATTTAGTAAAACTTAATATATATTTACTCTATAATTCAGCAATTCTATTGTGGGATATAAGCCAGAAAACTGTTATAAAGCTTTACAAAATGATGTATATAAGAATATTCATCTTCAACTACATATCCATTCGTAAAGTAATTGATAAAATGTGTAACATGTTAGTGAAGGATTACTATGCAGTGATTAAAAGAAGTTAGCATGCAATCACATGGATAAATCTCAAATATTTTAAAAGAAAAAAGAGATGGAGATTTATAGTACAGTGATATACATGTGTCTATACACACATATAATACACAATATCTTATATTTATAGAAATATGCAAATATATAAGTATACATTCTGAAGGGAGAGAAGAGAGAATATAGAAAAGAAGATATTTGTGTATATATAGAGGAACAAGGGGTACAGAAAGAAGTGAGAGTGAATACCAATGCCGGTGATAGTTGACTCTTCCAAGAGATTGTTTAAATTCATTATGTCATTATAGAATTGATCTAGTATTGATCATTTGAAGTTGTTTAAAAATACATATTATTTCTATAGCCTCCCAGAAAGATCAGTTACCCAGACACTATGAAAGCTAAGAGTTTGCTTGCAGTTTTGAGTTGTAACAATATCCCTGAGACACTACATTTTTAATAAGGATGATAAAGATTATGTAGCCCAATGATTTCACTAAAAACAATTAGCCATTAAGACATTAATATATTGTCAGATTAGAGTTAATGTTAAAAGGAAACCCAGAGAGATAAGTAAGCCTGAAATCTACTTTTTCCTTGGTAATCCTGGAAAACTTGAACCTCTACCCCGCATGGATCCCTGAGAGCCAAACCTTTGGAGTGAAAGTAAACTGGAAGTGGATGAGCTCTTGTGGGGGAATTTCATCCTTGAACTTGATTTTTAGTCTTTAACTTGATTTTTAGCCTTAAATTTGATTTAAGGTGATCATTGACAGGTAGTGCTCCCAGGAACTGATAGAACTAAATGCAGATCTTTTATGAAATGTGACTTCCTATAGTGAATGTGAATGTGACTTCTTATAGTTTTCAATGTTTGAATGTTTATTCACTCTAAGCCTCAAATCATTCACACAACTAATTTTTTATGTTCTTAACATAAACAAAGATAACTGCATACACAAGGGAGCATGACACTATGAGTGAGAGCCAGCAGAAAAAAAAGGAACATAAAAATAATCTTGCAAGCACTTCAAATATTGTAACTATCCGACACAGTCTATAATATGCTAGGCACTTTAATTGAAATAAAAGTTAAACCTGAAGATGTACAGGGAACAAAATACTATAAAATTTGACAGATTAGAAAATAACAAAATAGAACTCCTAGAAATGAAAAAAATATCATAATCAAAATTTTAAACTGACTAAAAAATTTAGTAGAAAATTGGATACAACTAAACAATTACAGAAGAGAAAGATAGATTAGGATATAATTTATCCAATATGTAGGTTAGAAAGTTGGCAAGATGAAAAATACAGAAGAGAATATTAGAAACAGAGGACAGAGTAAAACTGGTTTAACTTACATTTAACCAGAACCCAAGGAGATGTGAGAAAAATTGTATCAGAAGCAATAGTTAAATAAATAATAATTTGAACTCTTCAGAATTGATGAAAACATCAATAAGCAGATTTAAGAGACCTAAATAAACCTAACAGGATAAATTTTAAAAGATATCCATATCTAGAAACATTATAGTGAAAGCTCAGAAAACCAAAGAAAAAGAAAACTCTTTTTTTTCCCCAAAAGCCAAGGGAAAAGGACATTGAACTCTCAAACACATGCCAGACTGGCAGCTATGCTCCATGTTTCTCAACAGTAGCAATGGCAAATAATGGAAAGTAGTAAATCTTTAATGTGCTGAAGGAAGTTAGTAAATCTTTATACCTAAATGGTCTTTGCATTTAAGAGTCATCAAATGAGAGCACGAAATCAACTTGATATCAGTTTAATTTTAAATTATTCCAGATGACAGGACAAAATAGTGTAAAGACATTTTATCTCTTAAATGTAACATTATAGTTTTCCTCTTTACCCATCCCTTGCGACATCTCTGGATCTAAGAGTTTGGGACCTCTCTCTGTGTCTAGCCTTCTTCATTTCTAATGACGTTCACTTCTCCTCTAGCCTAGTAACTTATGACCATGGCCACTCTCTGGAGATGGTAGTCTCTGAAAATTACATCACATCTGAAATCACAAATACAAATATACTTCTTATAATCTGCAACTTTATCTTTCATGAAGGGCTTTAATGACCATTTATGCCAGTAAATCCCAAATGTGACTCTGTAGCCCAAACGTCTTTCCTTAACTATATTTATGTAATAGAAGCTAATTTATATAACTATGTATATGGATGCTCAAGCTCAACAATTTTAAGTTAAAATTGTTCCCTTCCTCAAAACAATAATATATCTTCTCCAGCTCCATATCTGTTCCTCTTTCTTCTGCTCTTCCTGTGTTTATCAGTTAATAGAACCAACACTCACTCAGTTCCCTAAGCCTGAAGACAATGTGCATTTACCTTCATTCCTTTCTATCCCACTCCTTCTGTTTATCATCCCATCCCCTATTGTTTTATTATTCTAATACAACCCCTTCACCACATTTCTGGTTGAGGCCAATATTTCCTCTTACTTGTAGTATTGTAACCATTTGTAATCAATCTCTCACCTTTAATCTTATTCCTCTCGAATTTATTCTCAACTCTAAAACAGGATAAGCTTTTTTAAAAGTGGAAACATAATCACATCACTTTTCTGTTTTAATTATAATCGCTTTAATAACCCTGCATTTTTTTTTTTTTTTTTTTGAGACAGAGTCTTGCTGTGTCATCAGACTGGAGCGCAGAGGCACAATCTCGAGTCACTGCAACCTCTGCCTCCTGGGTTCAGGCAGATTCCCCTGCCTCAGCCTCCTGAGTACCTGGAGCTACAGGCTCTCGCCACCATGCCCAGCTAATTCTTTGTATTTTAGTAGAGACAGGGTTTCACCATATTGGCCAGGATGGTCTCAATCTCCTGACCTCATGATCCGCCTGCCTCAGCCTCCCAAAGTGCTGGGATTTCAAGTGTGGACCACCAAACCAGGTCTGTAACTCTGCATTTCTACAGAGTTGTAGAAAGTCCAAATGCTTTGGCATAGCTTACAAAATATTTGGTGATCTTTCCAATTTCAACTCTTATCATTTCTCTCCTCTTGCTCTATGTCTTAGCTATATTGATCTTATTTTAGTTCCTCCAAATGCTTCTTTATTTGGATCTGCACAATCATGTTTTTAGTTTGCCTGAACAATTTTACTCCATACCCAATTTTTGTTTAAAGTACTCCTACTAATTTTTAATGTATCCATTTAGAATGTGCTTTCTCCAGAAAAGTTTGTCCTGTATTTCCAAATTCTGGTTAGATGACCATCATCTATGCCCTTGTAGTAGCGTAAACTTTCTTTACCATGACATTCATTGTGCTCTATTTAAAATATGTGGTCATTTTTCTGTCTCCCTCTTGAGGAGGAACTATGTCTGTCTGTTTACCATTCTATCCCTAACGCTTATGACCATTCCTTGCACAAAGTATATTCTCAATAAATATCCGTTAAACCAATTAATTAATACCTAGGTAAACATATTTAGAATTGTGCCCCTGGAAAGCCTGGGTCTGCAAATGATGAAATTCAGTTTCACAACTAAACTGGGGTCCAGTTTGTTCACATTTTTAAAAATGTTGAACTGGACTTGCTTTTAGGTTAAAAACTAGAAATGTTTGACTTTACTCGCTACTTTTGAGTGTTTATTTTCTACTCTTGCCAGCTAAGTGTCCTACTGAGTATCCCTAAATAAATGATACCAGTTCCCCAGCTCAAAATGTCCAACCTCTTCAAAGCAACTATTTGCATATACCAGGTTCATTTTCAAGTACACAAAGACATTCTTCTTCTCTAAGTGTAGTTGTTGAGAGAGCTAAGATCTCTAATTCCCATTTTCAATTTTCCTAAAAATCTCTTGCTTACTAAGCCAATTACATGTAAAAGCATTCTTCACTATCTTCAGTTGTTCAATATATTGTCTTCTCAGAGAGATCATAACTTGTTTGAGGCAGGGTCTACATCTTAGATATGCTTCCTCTATCTACCATAGCTGTAGCAGATTGTGGCTGATGATGGAAAGGTAGTTAGTAGCATCACATATAACCAAAATGCAACTCGGAAAACAGGCATATAGGAGGAGAATATAATTTAAATTTATCAACAAGCGCACAAGAAAAACTAATAATTTGTCTGAAGCTTATTTGACTTTATCTAAAACCTGAAAATCTGCAGAGTCGCATGGTGGCGCTGCAGGATAAGATGGTGAAATTTTTGTAACACGGCAGATGCGCTGGTTTCCCTTACCCTCGGGAAAGCGCTGTAAAACCAGGAGAAAAGAGGCTTTCAAAAGGCAGAGCACCATCAACACCTTCGCGACAGGATTACAAGTTTCTAAATTCCCAAAGGTCCAGGCTGATAGATGAGAGGAGCAACTTTCTGAGCTGCTAGTTGATTGAGTTGAAACATTTTCACCAGAAAGACGTTTAGCTAAGGAGCCATGGAGCCTGCAAAGGGAAGAGCTCAGCGGACAAGGCAAGTGCTGCTTTTCTTTGTTTTCCTGGGAGGGTCTTTGGTATGTTCTAAGACCTGGAGCTATTCCGTAGCAGAGGAAATGGAGGTCGGCACATTTATAGCCAACGTTGTGAAAGACATGGGTGTGGATGTGGAAGACCTGGCTGCACGGGGGGCCAGAGTCATCTTTGACGACTATAAACCTTATTTGCGGTTGGATCTACGGAATGGCGACTTGCTCTTAAATAGGCAGCTGGACCGGGAAGCACTTTGCGATCTCACAGAGCGATGTATATTGCATTTCCAGGTGTTATTTGAAAATCCCTTGCAATTTTCTCGGGCTGAGCTTTTGGTCAAAGACATAAATGATCATACTCCCACGTTCCTAGACAATCATATACTTTTAAAAATCTCTGAAGGTACTGCTCTAGGAACCTTATTCCAAATAGACAGTGCACAGGACTTGGATGTGGGAAAGAATGGTGTTCAAAACTATACAATAAGCCCCAATCCCCATTTCCATCTTAAATTACGAGACAGTGATGAGGGCAGAAAATACCCAGAGTTGGTACTGGACCAATCCCTGGATCGAGAAAAGGAGGCTGAGTTTAGTTTAACGTTAACAGCCGTGGATGGTGGGTCTCCGCCCAGGTCTGGGACTACACTGATTCACGTTGTGGTCCTGGACATCAATGACAATGCACCCGAATTTGAGAAGCCAGTCTATGAAGTTCATGTACCTGAGAGCAGCCCTCTGGACTCTTTGATCATCAAGGTATCTGCTACAGATTTAGATGCAGGAATAAATGGAGAACTGACTTACTCATTTTCCCACGTCTCCAGAGATGTACGGAAAACATTTGAAATCCACCCAATTTCTGGCGAAGTCTATTTAAAAGCGCCTCTAGATTACGAGATTATTCCATCTTATATCATAAACATTCAGGCCATTGACGGTGGGAGCCTTTCTGGAAAAGCAAGCATTTTAGTTCAGGTTGTAGATATGAATGACAACCCGCCAGAAATAGCCATGACATCTCTTACTAGCCCCATACCGGAAAACTCTTCACCTGAGATGGTGGTCGCTGTTTTCAGCATACGAGACCAAGACGCTGGAGACAATGGGAGAATGGTTTGCTCAATTCAGAACAACATCCCCTTTCTCTTGAAGCCTACCTTCAAGAATTTTTACGCTCTGGTAACAGAGCGCCCAGTAGACAGAGAGGTCAGAAGTGAATATAACATCACCATCACCGTGACCGACTTGGGGACACCCAGGCTGAAAACCGAGTACAACATAACTGTGCTGATCTCCGACGTCAACGACAACGCCCCCGCCTTCACACAGACCTCCTACACCCTCTTCGTCCGCGAGAACAACAGCCCCGCCCTGCACATCGGCAGCGTCAGCGCCACAGACAGAGACTCAGGCACCAACGCCCAGGTCACCTACTCGCTGCTGCCGCCCCAGGACCCGCACCTGCCCCTGGCCTCCCTGGTCTCCATCAACGCGGACAACGGACACCTGTTCGCCCTCCGGTCGCTGGACTACGAGGCCCTGCAGGCGTTCGAGTTCCGCGTGGGCGCCACAGACCGCGGCTCCCC